GGTAGTTATTGTCCTTTCACTTCCAGATGCAGGACTTCTATATTTCTTGTTAAGCCAGTCTAGTGGTGATAAATTCCCCATTTTCTCCTTGTCTGGGAAAAACTTTATTTTGCCTTCATTTCTGAAGGTTAACTTTGCTAGGAATAGTACTCTTGACTGGCAGTTTTTCTATTCTTTCAGCACTTTAAATATATCATCCTATTCTCTTCTGGCCCATGAGGTTTTGCTGAGAAATCTCTGTTAGTCTGACGGAGATTCCATGATATGTAACTTGACGATTTTCTCTTGCTGTTTTTAGAATTTTCTCCTTTGTCTTTGACTTTTGACAGTTTAAGTATAATGTGCCTCAGAGAGGGCCTTTTGGGTTGAATTTGGGAACCTTTGAGCTTACTAGATGTGAATATACATATTTCTCCTAAGACTTGGGAAGATTTCAGCGATTATTTTATTATATCGATTTCCTATGCCTTGTTCCTGCTCTTCTCCTTCTGGAATTCCCATAAAATGAATATTTGTTTACTTAATGGTGTTATATAAATCCTTTAAGCTTTCTTCATTTTTTCTTTTTTGGTTGGCTGGATTATTTCAAAAGACCTTCCAGTTCAGAAAACTTTTCTTCTGCTTGATCTAGTCTATTGTTGAATTTCTCAGTTGTATTTCTTATGTTATTCACTGAATTCTTTAACTCCAAGATTTCCGTTTGGGTCTTTTTTATATTGATCTCTATTGAATATCTTATTTATTTATTTATTAGTTGTTTGTTTTTGAGACAGAGTCTTGCTTTGTCACTTAAGCTAGAGTGTAGTGACACAATTAGAACTCTTACTACAGCCTTGAACTTCTGGGCTCAAATGATCCTCCCACCTCAGCTCCCAAGTAGCTAGGACTACAGGCATGCACTACCACACCTAGCTAATTTTTAAAAATTTTTAGTACAGACAAGATCTCGCTATGTTGCCCAGGCTGGTCTTGAACACCTGGCTCAAGCAATCCTTCCACCTCAGCCTCCCAAAGTGCTGGGATTACAGGTAAAAGCCACCATGCCTGGCCAGATTTTTCATTTAGATCATGAATTATTTGTCTAATTTTATTGAGTTGTCTGTCTGTTTTCTCTTGTATCTCACTGAGTTTTCTTAAAATCATTATTTTGAATTCCTATCCAGGCATTTTATAGATTGCCTTTTCTTTGGGGTCTGTTGCTAGATAATTACCATTTTCCTTTGGAGGGGTCATGTTTCCTTGCTTTTTTGTTTCTTGTATTATTATACTGATATCTGCATATCAGTGGAATGGGTGCCTCTTCCAATTTTATGGGGTAGCTTTTATAGGGCTACATTTTCCCCGTAGATGTGTCCTATAGTGTTGGTTACGTAAGGATGCTTTAGTTTTGGTTCTGGACGGGTACAATAGTGTAGTCTCTGTGTGATATCTTTGGCTGTATTCAGTGTCAGTGGTGTCTGCAAGTACATTGCCGGCCTAGGCTCTGGATATTTGTGAAGGCAGTAGTGGTATGGCTTTGCTTGGGATAAGGGCCACCAAGAGGGCCAATTCTCAGGTTCTGGAGGGCACACACTGGGCATGTCATCTCTGCTGGTTGCAGGGTTGGTGTTGCAGGCACCAGTCAGGCTGGATGTTGGTTCCTGGGATACTGGTGTAGTACATGGTGGCTCTGCCACTGGAGGAGATGGGTTTGCTGGCAGCTGTAGGCACCAGGTGGGCTGGTCAGTGGTCCCTGGGGAGCCTGCAACTAAATGATACTTTTATTTTGGTTAAAAAAAAAAAAGTAACATAAAATTTACCATAACCATCTTTAAGTACAGTATGTCCTCACTGAACACCATCGATAGATTCTTGGAAACTGCAACTTTAAACCAAACAACGTATAAGAAAAATCAGCATTTTTTTCTCATCAACATTACAATAAAATGATATTGAATAAAATGATGTTATTTGAGGACCTGCTCTATATTGTTTTGCTTAAAGTTGTGGTTTCCAAGAACCTATTGATGACATTAAATGAATATTTACTGTATATAATTCAGGGATACAGAAAATGTATCCCTATAAAAGCTACCCCATAAAATTGGAAGAGGCACCCATTCCACCAGATACACAGATATCAGTGTAAGAATACAAGAAGCGTCTGGGCGCGGTGGCTCATGCCTGTAATCCCAACACTTTGGGAGGCCGAGATAGGTGGATCACCTGAGGTTGGGAGTTCAAGGCCAGCCTGACCAATATAGAGAAACCGTGTCTCTACTAAAAATACAAAATTAGCCAGGCAAGGTGGTGCATGCCTGTAATCCCAGCTACTTGGGAGACTAAGGCAGGAGAAACGCTTGAACCTGGGAAGCGGAGGTTGTGGTGAGCTGAGATCGTGCCATTGCACTCCAGCCTGGGCAACAAGACAGAAATTCCATCTCAAAAAAAAAAAAAAAAAGAATACAAGAAGCAAAAAAGCAAGGAAACATGACACCTCCAAAAGAACATGGTAATTGTGGCATTGAATACATTCATAGTGTTTCACAATATATCTCCAGGATGTTTTCATCTTGCAAAACTAGAACTCTATACCCATCAAACAACAACTCTCATTTTTCCTTCCTCCCAGCTCCTGGCAACCACCATTCTACTTTCTTTTTCTATATGTTTGGCTACTTTGGATACCTCATATAAGTGGAATCATGCAATAGTTGTCTTTTTGGTTTATTTTACTTAGTATAATGTCCTCAAGGTTCATTCATGTTGTAGTGTGTGTCAGAATTTCCTTCCTTTTTTTTAAGGCTGAATAACATTCCCTTCTAAGTATATACCACATTAAAAAAAATCTATTCATCTGATATGAGGATTTGGGTTGCTTCCACCTTTTGGATATTGTCAATGATGTTGCTATAAACATGGATGTGCAAATACCTCTTCAAGATCTTGCTTTCAGTTCTTTTGGATATATATCCAGAAGTATAATTGCTGGATCACATGGTAATTTTATTTTATTTTATTTTATTTTATTTTATTAGGAAACACCATACTGTTTTCTATAGATTTGCACCATTTTACAGTCCCACCAACAGTGCACAAAGGTTCCAATTTTGCCACATCTTCACCAACACTGGTTATTTTATGATTTTTAATAGCAGCCATTCTAATGGGTGTGAGGTGAAATCTTACTGTGGTTTTGATTTGAGTTTCTCTGATGATTAGTGATGTTGAGCATCTTTTATATGCTTCTTAGCCATTTGTATATCATCTTTAGATAAATATCTATTCAAATCCTTTGCTTATTTTTTCTTTCATCTTTCTTTCTTTTTTTTTTTTTGTAATTGACTACCTATTTTAAAATCAGTTTATTTGATTTTTTCTTGTTGAGTTGTAGCTCTTTTTGAGACAGGGTCTCACTCTGTCGCCCAGGATGAAGTGCAGTGGTGTGACCTTGGCTCACTGCAACCTCCTCCTCCTGGGCTCAAGCGATCCTCCCATGTTAACCTCTCAAGTAGCTGGGATTACAGGGGCACACCACTATACCAGGCTAATTTTTTGGATTTTTTGTAGAGATGGGGTTTTGCCATGTTTCCCAGGCTGGTCTTGAACTCCTGGGCTCAAGCAATCCACCTGCTTTGGCTTCCCAAAGTGCTGGGATTACAGGTGTGAACCATTGCACCCAGCCTGGAGTTCTTTATGTATTCTTGCTATTAGTCACATATTGGATATATAATTTGCAAATCTTTTCTCTCGTTATGTAGGTTGACTCTTCATTTCAATTGATTTGCATCCTTTGCTGCACTAAAGTTGTTAAGTTTGGTGTCATCCTATTTGTCTATTTTTGCTTTTGTTGCTTGGACTTTTGGTGTTATATTCAAGAAATGGTTGCCAAATTTAATATCATGAAGCATTTCCCCTATGTTTCCTTCTAAGAGTTTCATAATTTTAGGTCTTACATTTAGGTCTTTAATCCATTTTGAGTAATTTTTGTATGTGGTATAATGTGAGGATAAAACTTTATTATTTTGCATGTGGATATTCAGTTTTCCCAACACCATATATTGAAGATGTTGTCCTTTCCCCATTGAGTGGTCTTGGCACCCTTAACCATATATGTGAGGGTTTATTTCTAGGCTGTCTACTCTATTCCATTGGTCTAAATGTCTCTCTTTATGCCAGTACCATACTGTTTTGATTACTATATCTTTGTAATAGTTTTTGAATTCAGAGAGTGTAAGTTCTTCAACTTTGTTCTTTTGGAAAATTGTTTAGCTATTTGGGGTCCCTTGAGATTTCATATAAATTGTAGGATGAATTTTTCTATATCTGCAAGAAATGTCTTTGGGATTTGGATAGAGATCGAAATAAATGATCTTTGAGGTTCTTTGTGATATTAAAGTGATATAGTATATATGTATCACTTAAGTAGCAATTCAATTCTGGGATTATTATTCAATTATTTACCTCCAGATGAGAAGAAGGGACATTTATTCAGGTCCTCCTACGTGGTAGGCATTATTGCAGCACTCTGGGTAGAGACATCATTAGCATTTTTGTTAGGTTGACTTGCCCTGCTCTGCATGGAAAAGCCAGGATTCCTGCAGAGATACGAGCCTAGGTCTGTATCTTTATAAAGCTTGTGCTCTTCTTGTGCTACACTTCTGCCCCCTCCTCCATTGCCCAGAAGCTTCTTAACAGTTGACACAGTTTGCACCCAATGCTGATGGGTGTTTATCTTTTCACTGATGCCACAACACTTGTGGGAACGCCACCTGCTATTGTCTTTAGGGGATTGTCACAGAATTTTTAAATGAGCTACTATGTATATTTGAATACTTACAGTGCTGAATGGACAAACATATTTGGGGAATCATGATGCTGGACTTTAATTTTATTTTTTTAATTGAATAAAGTCCCACCTAGACTTTCTTCCTTGTTCACGTGTATGTGACCAAAGTCTTGCTGAGAAAAAGGGAACATACTTCTCATAACCATTCCTTCTCTTCTCTATTCTACCTGAGATTTCCAACCCTGAGCGAGTAATGCAAGTGCTCCAAGATCATGCTGCAAAGATAGTCATGCTGGCTCCACATCATCCATCCTTTGTGGCTTCCCAGGGTTTGCATCAGTGCAACTATGACCAAGTCTGGGAGAATATTTACAGCAACATCAACCTCTGTCAGGTACTACAGGAAGAAATAACCAAAATGCCTTTTTACTCAACTTGCTACCTGTGTGTAGCCCTTAGACATTTACTTTGGTAGTTTTTCTGAAACCCTCCCCACCAAAATCTCTATAATCTAGCCAGGTTTATTTTCATTATAAGAAAGATTAAGTGCTAATTAAAAAGAAAGATATAAAGAGGTATAACATAAGATGTTGTTCCTGTGAGGACAGATACTTAAACCAATAAATACCAATGCAAGGCTGTACATCCAAGGGCTAAGCACCCAATGAGCTGGACAGTTATTAAATACCGTATTTAGAAAGTGGTCCCCAAAGGGTAGATTCTATTGAGGAAAGCCTCTTGAAGGAGAGGAAATTGGGCTGGATTTGAAGGAGGCATAGGACTTAGGGAAGTGATGGGGAAGAAAGTAGCGAGTGCATTCTAGGAGGTACAGCATGAAGAGCATGCTGAGGAGATACTGGATGTGATATAGTCAGAGCCAGCTTAGTTGAGTGGAAGATTCATGTGGAAATATAGTGAAAAGAAAGGCTATTTGTTTGTTTGTTTGTTTGTCAGGGGAGGTGCTAGTTGTGAATGCTCATGCATTCCAGACAAAGGAATCTGTGCTTTTTCCTATAAGGAAAATATTTCATACAAAGGCATATTTTTAAGGAAAATTAATGTGGTAGCAAAATGTTAGTTGGACTGGAAGAGGGAGAGTTTGGAGGCAAGGAAGTCAGTTAGGTAGCTGCTGCACAGGATAGGCATGAGGTTTGGAAGTGAAAAGAAGTTCACAAAGCTAGTGTATACTTGTCTTTACAATGATACCATAACATTTTTGAAGCTTTCGTCTGCTATTATTTTTCACTCTAAAAGAAGAGTTTCATGTCATTTGTCTATTTAAGTTGGGAAGACCCAAAAAGGTTTGTAGTCTAAGGTGAGGAAGCAGTAGAGAAGAGGAGACAGAAGATATGAAAAGGGAAATGTGAGAAACAGATGACCCTGGGGAAGAGGAGGGGATGAGATGGGGAAACCAGATGGAAGAGTAATTTTGAGAAATCAAGAATGACATCACTTCCCTTGAGGTGAATGGGATACACAGAATTTTTAGGTGCAGAAAGGTAAGATGTGGGTGCTCCTGACTGGCCCTGGCTGTCTCATAGAGAGGGAGGAGGCAGAGGTCATCTGCATTAGTGAAGCGAACTGCAAGAGCTATATGTGAGGGAGTGCGTGGCTATGATAAAGACCACAGGACCATCAGTGAGAGGAAAATACACGAATGACTGCATAGTCAAGAGGCCCCTGGTAAAACACAATGCTATGAATTTGTAGTGAGCCCCTTTTGTATAAATTCTATTACTTTCACCCCTAAAATGATTGTAGAGTACCTGAAAATTGCATAAAGTCAAAGTTGTGGGGAAGTTGGGTAGAATGCTGGAGAAAGAAGCACTGTCACAGTTCATTATCCCGTGATAGGGATATGGGGGAAAGTGAGACCTCAAGGTATCCAGTGAGTTATGGATTAGTTGGGAGCATGCACACACACACACACACACACACACACAACACACAAAAAAAAAAAAAAAAAAAAAAAAAAAAAAAAAAAAAAAAAAAAAAAAAAAAAAAAAAAAAAAAAAAAAAAAAAAAAAAAAAAAAAAAAAAAAAAAAAAAAAAAAAAAACAACACACACACACACATACACACACACACACACACACACACACACACATACACACACATACACACACACACACACACCTTTTATAACTGTTCAATTTGTTTGAGCAAGGATCTAGAGATCAAATGAGAAATGAGTTGGCCACACAGATCAGGAGCAGAGGCAACATATCAGCATGGATCTCCCTGGCCCTTGAATTTCCTGACAGAGTATGCAACTACCAGTGACACACTCCTTGGCTAGCATCCTGCCAGAGTTGAAAAAATAGCCACAGTTTTCGTATCCCATTGCCATTTTACAACTGAAGTTTGTATCACCTTTCAGGAAGATCTTACACGAACAAGGAGACATTAAAAAAAAATTTATGTTTGGTTCCTATTCCCGAACCAAACATAGAGACTATAGGGTAGGGGAGAAAGGAGTGAGAAGGCAGAGTCTATCCCAGTGTCTCAGAACCATGTCTTTGCTCCTAAGATCCTGGACAGTTTACCTCTTTTTATTTTTATTTTACTCTTTTTTTTTTTTTCCTGAGACAGAGTCTCACTTTGTCACCCAGACTGGAGTGCAGTGGTGCGATCTTGGCTCACTGCAACCTCTGCCTCCCAGGTTCAAGCAATTCTCATGCCTCAGCCACCTGAGTAGATGGGACCACAGGCGTGCACCACCACCTCTGGCTAATTTTCATATTCTCAGTAGAGATGGATTTTCTCCATGTTGGCCAGGCTGGTCTCGAACTCCTGACCTCAAGTGATCCACCTGTTTCAGCCTCCCAAAGTGCTGGTATAACAGGCATGAGCCATCATGCCCAGCCTTGGACAGTTTACCTCTTGATGCAGATGTTATAATCATCCTTTACCCAGGGAGTTATGGTATTAACATCTGAGGGCCATCAACACACATCTGTTTTCCTCCTTGAGTGAGAGAATAAGGGGAATTACATTCCAGGGGTCCATAAAGGAGTGAGAGGAGATGAATAAGAGTGAGGAGAGGGCCGGGCGCAGTGGCTCACGCCTGTAATCCCAGCACTTTGGGAGGCCAAGACAGGCAGATCACGAGGTCAGATCAGGAGGCCAGGGAGATCCATACTGATATGTTGCCTCTGCTCCTGATCTGTGTGGCCAACTCATTTCTCATTTGATCTCTAGATCCTTGCTCAAACAAATTGAGAAGTGATCAAATGGGAAGCTGAGTTGTAGCACTGCCCACAGGCACTTAGGGGACAAAGGGGGGTTACTGCTGTAGGACCACTGTGCCAGTGAAAAGCAGAAGGTTAACAGTGAGAGCAGGAGATAGTGGCTCCAGGTAAGTGTTGAGTAGTAGAAAACACCAAGCTAGGGCAACAGTGTAAGAAACTGGTGGAAACAGAAGTAGGGTAACTCCTGCTTCTCTTCTCCCAGCCATGCGGTGGAGGGGACAACTAACACTTTTTGCTCTTACTACTTTCTTCCACTTGCAGAGGGGATGGAAATTCAGGTACTGATAGGATGCAGTCTGTGCTTTCACCAAAGTCTGTTTTGAATGCAATTGCTCAAATAATAAAAAGAAAAGAAAAGAAAACCACTTCCTCCAGCTATTTACTGACATATAAATGTTGTTCTTGGAATCTTGGAATTCCCCAAAGGGAGAAAAATATCAGCACTGTGTTTTCAAGTTGACTTATGGTAAATAGACCATAAAGAGACTAATAATACCTGTAGATCTGCAGATTCCACAGATGGGACATGAGGGGAGACATACAACACACACACAAATCACTCTACAAATTAGGATCATGAAGTTTTCCATTTTCTCATTCATTCATTCATTCATTCATTCATTCCATGATTATTATATGGATATTGCCTTTGTGTCAGGAACTGTACTTGGGTTAGGGGATGAAATAGACCCAGTCCCTGCCCTGAGAGCAACATATAATAAACAAGTGAACAAACAAGTAAACCTACATCTCTAACTTGTGAGTGCCATGAAGAAAACAGTGGGCAGAGAACAATAAGTGGAGAGGAGCACCCTCTGACAGAGGCCAGCCAAATCTTCGGGTGGGAGGATTGAGTTGAATTTAATGAATGAGAAGGAGGCAGCCATGCAAAGAGCCTGGAGAAGAGAAGAATTTCCTTTCTTTCCCTCCCCTCCCCTCCCCTCCCCTCCCCTCCCCTCCCCTCCCCTCCCCTTCCCCTCCCCTCCCCTTCCCCTCCCCTCCCCTCCCCTCCCCTCCCCTTCCCTTCCCTTCCCTTCCCTTCCCTTCCCTTCCCTTTTTCCCCTTCTTAAAACCAGTGCTATTTTCTATTCCAAAGCAGAGAACAGAAAATAGCACTGGGTTTAAGAATAGAAATTCCAAGGCAATGGCCAATATTTTCTAGTTTTCTTCACATTTTCCCATGGATGTAACTTTGTGACCTCCTCGAGTATTTCTGCTTTGGTCAAGAGCCACTTTATACTGTATCAGGGCCCCACTGGTAGCACATAGTCATTCTGGATGTTAAATGCTGATCAAATCAGATTAGAATTAAGTAAAAATGTGGCAGCTAGGAGGAGTTATGGGAATGTGAGTATGAATTTTAAAGCTGTGTTACTGTTTTGCAAACATGTAGCAGTCAAGTGTGGATTTTAGCATCTATATGCTGGTCAGCATCTTGATTCTGAATCTGGCAAGTGACAACCAATACCTTGTGACAGATAAGTTTCTTAAGGGCCTTCTGAATAAAGAAAAACAAACTTCATAGGATGACTGTCTGTCCATTTTGGCATCTCTGAGAGAATGAATATAATCACTAATTGTAGCACAACTTCAGAACAGTTTCTGATCAATTCTCACTGAATGCCATTCACCAGTAACTTTTCCATTTTGTTTTGTTTTGTTTTGTTTTGTTTTGTTTTTGTTTTTGACAGGGTCTTACTCTGTTGCCCAGGCTGAAGTGCAGTGGTGTGATTTCAGCTCATTGCAGCATTTGCCTCCTGGGTTCAAGTGCTCCTCCTGACTCAATCCCCGGAATAGCTAGGACTGCGGGTGGGTGGGCACACACCATCACTACCAGCTATATATTTTTTTTTTCTGTAGAGACAGGGTTTCACCATGTTGCCCAGGCTGGTCTCGAAGCAATCCACCTGCCTCATCCCAAAGTGCTGGGATTACAGGCATGAGCCATTATGCCTGGCCCCACTTTCCTTTAGGGAGTTTTTGTCTTTTTAATTTATTTTGAAATAGTTTGAGATTTATAGAAAAGCTGCAAACACAGTACAAGGAGTTCCCATATACCCCCACTCAGTTTCTTACATTATTGACATCTTACATTGTAGTGATACATTTGTCATACCAAGGAACCAGCATTGGTACATTACTGTTAATTAGGCTTCCCCTGGATTTCACCAGCTTTTCCATTAATGTTCTCTTTCTGCCCCAGGATCCTATCCAGGGTACCACATTACATTTAATCATCACACCTCCCCCGCCTCCTC